ATTGTGCTTTAGTTCTACATGATTATGGTGAATACAGAATCGGATGCTGCATGAATTGTCAAATTTTGAAGAGTACTCCAAGCAACTGTATAGTTCTGAAGAATACAATTTTGCCATTCTTACATTTTATTTCAGCACTTTTGTTTGATCCGATTACTGTAGCAACTAATAGTGAGGAATATCTAGAGTTTGATTAGTCCTTTGAATGCCAGTTATTAAAATAAGATAACTTTCTAGCTTCACAATCATCCCCGCGATGGCATACATGTGACGCTGTTTGTCTACTAAAATTCCCCTGTTGTATGTTCATGAGATAGGAATACCCTTTTACCAGCGGTCTTTTGTTTAGTAACACCATCCACAGTGAGTCTTTGTATTCTGCATTCTACACATAAGTCATGGCACAAATAACTTCACTTCTCGATACCCGTTGTAGAATTTCTTTCTAGTATGACCGTTTTGGTCTGGGCGTCAGTGTGAGTGTAGCTCAGGTATAAGAATATGAACCCCATCCAATGCCTACGCCCACAGTCATGCCTACAAACTCAGCTGTTCGCCGATACCTATACACCGGCACCATTTAATTTAGCATCGAATTTTGCATCCAGCACAGTTGGCTATCCCAATAACACAGATGAGAAAGCGACTCAAGACAAGGAATATCGTGTAAAACCTATGGAAAAAACCTGTTTTTCCTCACGAGTCCCTGTCTTTTTACCTGATGGGGTAAGGGTGTCAATGTGTGTCTGTGGGGGTACAGGTGCGTGCGAGTGAAAAAAAGATAAATGTAGACCCCACACGTATCCATACCTTCTAATTGACATATAGACATGCATTAAAACGTGTCACATGATGACTTTTTGCCTAGTCAATGAGTTAAAACCTTTTCATATAAGAACTTATCCATGTTAACCAGTTTACTTTTTTGATTCATCATATTAATGAGTTTTAATGTCTTTTGTTTTCTCATTTTTTCTAGATGAGCGCTTCGAGACATCAGTGAGTATCCATTCATTGCCATGGGAGGTGTTAGGATATAAATATAAAAATATAAGTTTTAGAATAGAGCCCTTTTATCTATCACTACAAGGGTGTAGGTGTAAGCGTGTGCTCACATCGAGTTACTTTACACGGCTTTCAATAGTAGTTATTGGCACATATACATTTTGGATTGAGCTCTAATTGGGCTCTGCAATTACTCCCAATGTGCAGAGGTCTAAAGAGTTGTAAATTATTATAAGAGAGTGATAAAATATACTGAAGTTCTACACTAAGATTTTTATGACCATGCATGATCATATTGTCGGATCTTGCACAGAGCTGTATTTAAGAAATAATGTAAGACATCTAGAACCAGAGTTTTGCATATGATTTTCTGTATGACCTTGTATATTCATGAAGAATAATGATTTATGATCGGATCGAAATGCCCAAGAATCCGTAACTGGTATAACTACCCAATTTTTCGACTGAAGATTTTTACTTTATAGTTAATTACTAAAATCTGAATAATATCTAGTAACACAGCATTGATGTAATATGAAGATTTAGTTAGTCTCCATTTCAAGTCGACAAGTCGGGAGTGTTTTTCTAATAACTCTTGATCGGAACAAGCAACCGACCTGCGCTTTTCGTCATTCTGAAAACCAATAACTAAAGAATGAAAACCCTATTAAATTAAATTGACTAGAAGACTTTCAATCAGGTAGAGTTTTCCAAAAAATATCCAGAATCATGTTCTGTACTTATATTTTTTTCTTTTAAACTCAAATGTGATTATGCAATCGGAAGAGTGGCTGCCTTTCTGCCTAAGTAAGCCTGATCTTACTAGCTTGTTCTATTTAATGGTTATAAACGTTTTCCAGAGAGTCACAATAATCTATAAAATGATCTTGAAGAATTCTTCGCATAACATGTCACGATAGGAGTAATTAATCACCGCCAACCTAGTGACGACGTTTGATTAAAAAGTGGTCCGGCGTCATAAGATCGAGAGTTGCCGAATAAATGTTCTGAACGCCTTGCAATAGCAGAGATTAGGCTCTCAAAAATGCAA